TCCCGTCCTCGCAGAGGTTCGACGGAGTTGTACTTTCCATGGCTTAGAAGAGAGGTTATTAACCGCATTTCATTGATTTGATCTACTCACTCATTCAAGTAAAGGAATGCCCTACTTCAGTTGTAAACGGCTCTCGTGTCTGTCTTGCCTACTAAGCAATTCCCTCTTCTCTTTCCTGCCGGTAGTGAATTGCCTTCTTTCCCGATTGAGATAGAAAAAGTAGCTAGTCAGATTCATTCACTCCTTGGTTCTCTCTTACTCTTATTTATTTATTTATGTTATGGTTATGTATGGGTTCGCCTTTGCCTAAATCGACCGTTCTACGGCTACCAGCCTGTGTACCCCAACGACCTTACTTAAACGAGCATTTTCGGGGACTAGCCCGCTTCCCATTACTCCATAGGGAAATTCCTAGCACATAATTAAGGGAGCCATGGAAAGGTGACTGAAACACCAGAAACGGCGACTACCCGAGCTAATGATAGAGGCAAGAACACTTTCCGGCCAGGCCTTACTATAACCAACCTCACAGATCCCACTCAATCTTTTACACCGATGTATCGTACTCTCTCGACCAGGTCATCATAAGAAAATACTGCGAAATCTTTCCGAAGTGAGATAAGGAGGGAAGGCGCGCTACAACTAACATAACAGCCAGCTGAAAAACGCTAGCTAGCTAGGCTAGCGCGCAATGGCTTTCTCTGATAGGGGCTCGCTTCTTCAAGCTCCGCCCAACCTATACAAGGTGCTGCTCGCTTTCTCTCAGCCACCAGTGGCTTATGTAGTGGTCGGCATTCCTACGTGCTCCTCTTTTCTTTGCCCCCTACTTAAGAATCCAAAGGTGACCTTTGGCTGTTGTCTTGACGCTTTGGTTACGAAGGTTACCGGGGTCTAGGTTTATGGATGGATTTAGTCAGCGAAAGTCCCTCAAACTCAATCAATATCAACAACATGTCGTGACCGGGGTTGATTTTGTCAGAAAAGAAAGTAGGTTTCGGGGGTTCATTGATTAGTACACCTCCGGTGCTGGTAAGGTCGGGACCGTGGTCGTCCGTCTCCGGTTTGCCGGCCGATAAGATCTCTGAGATTGACCAGCCAGCTGGGTTGGTTTGGCTATTCCTTTCTATTGAAAAGAAGTCAGCTGTCTGCGCGAGTCACCTTCTTCTAGGCTCCGCTGGACGACACGGCATTCTCGTTTAAATATAGGCCGGCCGTACTTGTGATGGTTCCCAAAGATCCAATATGACCACTTAGGTCTACGTTGCCGCGATATTGTTCTATGGAAGCGGGCGGGCTGTTAGAAGTTCGGCCCGGTGTTTTTTGGTGTCGTAGTGGAGGGATTGACCTTTTTAACGCATATTCAGTCGTACCGGCATGGCCCCACTGATTTGTTTTCGATCGGAGCATCAAGCAGCGCAACCCGGTTCTACTTGACTAAGCCCCGTGCTCGTCCAAGGAGGGAGTTTGCTTTACCCAACTCCCTTTTTGATAACAAGGCAGAAACCCCCGACCCGACATTCATTAGTTTCGAATGAAGAGTGCTCTGCCCCAGCAAGCACCTACTCCTATAAAAATGAAAAGCGTGACTTTACTAAACAAGCAAGAAAAGCTCTTTACTAATAACATAGAAAGGAGCGGAGCAGCTCGCCCCTATCGAATAAGCTGGAGAGGCCTTCTAACGTAATGGGTCGCTCGAGCGTTAGCTCGAGGGCTGTTAAGCTAGTGCGCTAAATCCGTTGCTTGTTGCTCACGTTTTTTGGCTTACCTAAAATCTTCGATTTGAAAGTTGGTAAAGACCCACCCCTTGTTTCAGTCAGAATGAGTCCCCGGGACCCCGGGACATTGGCTTCCGCCAACAGTGGACTATTAAGGATCGCATCCCGCGCATATTCTACATTATAGCCTGCAACTGATTCAGCTTCCGCTTCTGGGAGATCAAACGGAGCTCGATTAGTTTCTGCTAGACAAGAAATGAAGAACATAACCAATACAGGGAACAAGGGAATACCGGACCATATCTGCTTTTGCGCCATGACAATCTCACTCGAATTACGGGGACCTACACATATTAGTACAGTATACCGGGGTCCCCGGCCAGAACCACACGTGCAAGTTTCCCTGCATGTGGCTCGTCCGCGCTTTCCGAGGCGCTGCCTGTGACTCAGCATGGGAGAAGGGGGCGTCACACTTTCGTGTTTAGAGCATTGTCCGAGTGAATAGGCAGCGCCTACCAAGCAAAGCTTTCTTGAAGAGGCTGGGCTGGTTCCTTTTCGGCGCCCGCATTTTATTTAGATGTTGGGGCAAGGCAAGCCCCAGGAAAGTCTAGGTTGGCTCCCAGCTCCATCTCGGCCGGCATCCTGCTCTCGCGGGGGTGGGGTCCTGGAGCGAACTACTCATTGCTGTCTTGCCCCAACCCAAGGCCGTTAAGGTTGGTGAGGAGCATTGTTTTGAGGGAGGGAAAGCGTGGTTGACAAGCCACTTCGAGGAAGCGACTGGACTGGAGTGCTTTCATCAAATGATGCATATGGGCTGAGCCATTCCCATCCCAAGTGGTGGCCCGATTCGGCCTGGCCTGGTCGGGAAGAGATTCACATAGAGACTTTTTCTATCCGGGAATATCTTTCTATGTTAGCTAGCGGGGGCGGGCTTTCCTATGATAGTCCCGCTGCGGCCTCTGACCGTCCGTCACGTCTCATCTTGATTTGGCTATACTTGTATGTAGCCAGCCATGTTAGCTTCACATGAGAGCCCTTTTTTGAAAGGCTAAAAAGGAACTCATCAGTCAGCTCGGCCCCTTTCCTATTCAGCTTTGCTGCCTATTAAGATAATAGGTCCCGTTCAAGCGGCCCGCCTTTATGAATCTATACCAGCTGTCACGCACGACCCAATAGGAACGATTTCAGCGCCCCCCTCTAGATAAGAAGCAGAACGCGCCATCACCTACAGCCCTTTCCTCTGCCGGGGACTTCCACGAAATGAAAACGGGCGGCATCGTCGTATGCTCGACATTGGTTGCCCTGGTTTATATCCCGGAGTACTCCTATGGCCGATCTGTCACCCAACCTACTTAAACAACCTAAAGGCTTGGCCCCGTCCCGTTTGGAGAATGACCCTTATGGCATGGCTTAGTCAGTTATTCTCGCAGTTCAGATAAGATTCGGACCGGGTTGGGTTAGGTCTCTGAAAGCATGGTTCTTGCCTTCCTCTTTCCTCCCTCCTTGGAGCTCGTCCATTCGTTAGGTGATCCCTTGCTCTCACGTTCGAGTGTTTGCTCGTCGTTTAGGCCGGTGAGTGAGATTTCTGCTCATTGCAGTCACCTCCGGGGTTCTTCGCACCTGGATAGTACCAGGACCCTTGTGCCCCGGCCCTTGATCAGATAAAGCCGCCCGCCCTATGACCCAAAACACAAAATGAGCCTTGCGACGAGACGCGGACATTCCCCATGCTGCGGTTCCCTCCGGTCCGTTCCCGGGTTGGGTTAGGGGAACATCCGAGCGATTGCCTTCGCGGATCCAAACGCGCTCACAAGGCGCACAATAAGAATAAGACCAATAGAGACTTCATAAGAGACCATTTGAGCTGCAGATCGTAATGCTCCTAGAAAGGCATATTTCGAATATAGAGGAGTGAAAGTTCCCAACAATCAACGAGTTGATCATACCCTTCTTTGAACCGTACGAGCACGTCCTCTGTCACCCCCCCACCGCGCTTACGGCTCCATACCCCAACCCAACTTGCTCTTGCCCCCGGTCCTCCCTTTCTATTACTCGGCAAGCGGACCGTGGGAGCATGAGGGGGGGCGCTATCTGCTTTTGACTGAAAGAAAGCATCTCTCTTTTGGACCTTGTCACAGCCTAAAAACCCCTTTCTTTCAGATTCGGATTAGTTCAAATAGCCCTAGAAAGATCAAGGATAATTACCTCCGTTAATGATAGCTATACCACAGAGTTCATTTCCATCAAGGAAAGACAATGCCTTCTCTTCTCTCTATCCCAAGATTCGAGGTAAAATGAGTCATTAAAGAGCATAAAGCTACTCACTTTCACTGCAGTAGTGAAATATGATTGATTTTCTTTCCTTCCTTCTACCGGTCTTTGAGAAAGGTATTGAGCTGCTCTTTGTGCAGCACTCTACGTTCCTCGGTCTTCATGGGGCGCCGCCCTCCCCCTTACCCCACTTATTCCACCCTCTGACCAAACACATAGAGAGCTCATTTGTCCGAGCCTTAGAAGACTCTTCTCAATTCCCACTTTTTAAGAGGTTTCACCCTCTTTAGAAAAAGCTTTGAAGAAGAGATGGCATGTAGAAGATCCTTATAAGGTCTGCTATGGTGGGTGCCAAATGAAACTGCTTTCACATCTTTCTCGTATGTGCTTAAAGAAAGCAGTTTCCCTTTCGGATAGAACAAAAAGCTTCTTATTTCGTTTCGTTTGGCAAGTGAATTTAGCTCATCCCGGGAATACCCGTCGGAGAGCAGAGCCTTCTCAATGGCTCTTTCTATAACGACTTGCGAGTCCAAAATCGAGTTTTTATTCTGGTCAGACACCCCCGCAAAATGAAACCCCGCGCGCTCATCTAGTTCGGCGCGACGAGTGTTGTCATCCAGTAGAGGATGGTAAGCGTCAGGGTCAGGGGCAAGAGGTTCCGCTGGGTCAGGTGCGTGGTTCACACTGGGATCGGACTGGGGTACGCGCGAAGAGCTTCCACCCTCCCATCCTGCTGCATCCATCATGTGCAAGCTGGAACCTACTACCGAACCGACGATACAATCAAGAACAAAAAAGGGAACCTCAAAACCAAGAAGCCGACTAAAGAGGAGGCGGAACGATCTCAAAAGGAGCATGGATTTCAGTTTGACCCAAAGAAGACTGAAATCCAAGCCGAGTACAAGACAAAAGGAGAGGCATACAGTACATATGACAAGAAGGAAAAATACCCTTCTTGCAATGCCTCTACTTGATCTTACCGAAATCGGATTTCCTTTGCGTGCCATATGCGCCTTATTTTGACTTTTTCTCCTTTTTTCTTCCCGCTTTAATATTTGTTCTTGAAAGTCTTCGTTTCCGTGTAGAAGCAAACTCTCCAAATTTATGACCAACTTTTCCTTCAGTGATCTTAGAACGAACAGGACTTTTTCCATTGTAAATTCGTACGGAGCAATTAACGAATTCCGGCAAAAAAATAGAAGACCGAATGGGATCAAAGAAACTAGCAGACTGATCACTAAATAGATACAAATAGGTGCAAATTCTGACATTACCAGACTTGGTTCTTTCGTTTCGCTCCTTTCCTTTCTCGCGGAGCGGCATACCGGAAAAAAAAAGAAAGATCATGATCTGGGCCTGCTTTCGACCCAATCATGATCTTTCGGGGTAGGGGGAATCGAACCCCAATATTTCATCCAGGGCCCCTCTCACGGAACATCTACAGAATCTCCGTTGGGCGAGAGCCCGGGGAGCACTAGACAACTTTTTGTACAGTTGCATTAGTATCGATTTCTATTTATTATACTATATATGTCATTTCGTTCGCCTTTGTGGTGTGGGCCCGTCAGCTTATCGATCTTGGAATGTCTACCGGACGAGATGAGATCGCCTTAGAGATGATAGAACGTGTTCAAAATCATCACCTATGCAATTTGACTTAATAGAAATGAGCTAACTCTCTCTTTTCTAAAGTTTCCCCTAAGCTGGTGAATGCACCTTAACGTTAAGAAATCTTCTTCTCTATTTCAATTGGAAGTTTCACTGGACACATCAAGGTTTTTTGCTGGAGCGAAGATGCGATAGCTTTACGAGAGGCCAAAGAAGAATAGCTTGCTCGCCCCTAGATAATAAGCAGGAGAGGAGTGAATTGCTGCCTTTCTTTATCCCGGTTTATCCCGTCTGGACCTGGCGGAGTGGGATGGGGCTAGCCCCGCAGAAGAAGAGCAGAACCCGCTGTTGCTGTCCACGAAGTAGCAAAGGGCACCCAAGAATCAACATAAGCAAAATCCGGGTAAGTGGAATCCCTTTCTCCTGAATTCGTTCCTGAAGAAGCGGAAGAGGCAGAAGAATTGGTCGACCCTTTCTTTCATCCCCGCTAGCGCTAGATTAGATCATGAAAGAGCGAAAGAGCTGAGCTAATAAGAACCCCTTGCTGCAGTAGCAGCAGAAGACGAAGCGGAGTCTGCTGCTTAATTTCCATATATAGAGGAGAGGGTTCCAGCTAACGTGCTAGCTAAGCGGTCCGGCACCGGAAACCGATGACGCGATAGGAGATTGATTCCATTCTAAGCTTAAGTAGGCCCGCAATCTCAATCAGAAGGAGGTATGGAGTCGGAATAAGAATCGAAATTGCCTAGAATTCCCTAGACTAGATAAGCTTCTTAGGGCTAAGGTATTCGTCCTTGCTGGGTCAAGACCAACCAATAGAAGAAGGTTAGCAAGCTTGGGTCGAAAGCAAAGCGTGGGAGGCTATCGAATCAGCATCAGAAAAAGAAGAATCCGAAAAAGAACCATTATCCCTTGCGGAAAAACCATAATCAGCCAGCTGTGCACAAAAGCAGAAGTTCTAGAAGATTGCTCAGAATGAACTGAATTCGAAGGACCGGACTGACTTGTCTTATTTGTTCCGATATAAATCAATCGGTCCAGTTCTCCGTAAGCTAGCTCCTCCTGCTCCTTACGTTAGTTCCAAATAGCCCGCCCAGTCCCGGAAGGACTTTAACCGTAATTCCCTTTTCTTGCTTTGCATTAGCGATGAGAGGCGAAATAGCAAAATAGAAACATAAAGAATATTCTAATTCCATCAATTCAGTTCGAATCAATTCTTTTTTTCGGTAACCTTTACTAAAATGGGGGGCTTTTGCCCTTAGTCGGTCGATAGGGTCAATTCGGTACAACAAGGATCGGTAGCCAGCAAGAAAACGTATGCAGCAATCAAACTCAATAGCCGCCTTACCTTAGCGCTAGTCCTTCTTTCTGCTCTTCGAGGGCGCCAACAGAGACAGACGCTATCTTCGCGGGCAGATTCCTGCTTTGCTTCCCAATGGGAGTCCTGTCCTCCATAGAAGAGGCTTTTACTAGTGCTTCTTTCCTTCTCGACAGCAGCAGGGCAGGCTTTGTACAGCCCGAGAACGTTGCGAGCTAGACAAAGAGTCATCGGATCGAACAAAGGAAAATTCCTGTGAGATCAATTCAAATAGAAAAAGATGATATGATAGAAATAAAAGAATCTACATACAGAATTTCTTTTCAATTGCTTGGGATCAGTCCTCCTTGGTCGAGTGACACTTAATATGGGTGGGGCCTTGCTTTGTCTGCTGATAGGGCGAGAGCTTCACTTTACCTTTTGTTTTGAACCCTTCTAAACCAAAGCCTTGAAAACCTTTTCTAGTCTACTCTGTGTACTTCACCTTCGAACCAAGCTTCGCTTTTCGATCCAATTCTAGCCGCCGCCTATTAGAGGTCGTTGGAGGATACAATACCTCGCCTTTGATTCACCGGGCTTAGAAGGAGTTTTCAGGTCATAATGCCTATGATTGATTACTAAGTGTCGGAGAAGAGCGGTGAGTAGCTATTGACTTTGTTTTCTTGCTAGTTGCAAAAATAAGATAAGTTTCGGTTGAAGAAGAAGAAGTGAGGTAAGCCCTTGGCACAAATCCCCGGATCGGGTATGAAAAAGAAGAACCGGAGCCAACTGGAGATTCCGAACTTCAGGTATTCTTATAGAATAGAAGGACAGGGACGAGAACAAGAATAACGTAATATAAGCGCGTGCTACTATATGGAATGGACAAAGGCAAATCATCTTGCTTCTGTTTAAGTCGGAAGTGCCACCAACTAACTCCTTCCTCGGTTACGGAATTCAATGTTGTATGTGAGAAATCCATATTACTTCCACTTAGGAAACAAAAGAGTAGGTAGCTGGAGGTTTTTATGTCACCACCGCGAAAACAACACACTGCAATAAGGAAAATAAATAAGAGTCCGGTACTTGTTCGCCTTATCGGGGGCTACCCCATCGGGGTTAATAAAAAGCACTGGTTCCGGTCAAGCGAGCATCTCCATACCAATACTTAACTTCAAGTTTTGGCAAAGAAAGAAAGAAGACCGATGTAGCCTGTTCTGTTGGAGGCCTTTCCAGCTATCCTTTCGACCGCCCCTTGCCCTTTGCCGGGTTGGTTCTAGTAAGAAAGAGCAATTTACTACTAATGGGTAAGCATTGTCAAAGGATCGTTTCGCTGGAATGCTGAATCTAGCTACTCCCATTAAATAAAAGGCATTTTTCACTCTACACGGTATGGCTACAAACCGAATGAAGAAAAGTCGGAAGCAGTTCATCGCCTGTGGGAGCTTGCTGATAGTGAGGAAGCCATAATCTATCGGATATCGGATTTCCTATTTTTCTATGTGTCTAGTGAAGAGAGAAACTCATATAATAGAAAGAAAATCAATCTTTGAAGAAGGGAAGTTCCGTAAGAAATAATGCAGCTCCGTGGACCGCTACTGCTCGCTTGTCGGGACTGATAGGAAAGTGAAGTTCTTTTTTGATGAGGCACCGGCGCCTACCTAAATGCAAGTCTAATTTCAACATTCAGTCTTATCTATTCTATTGGCCCTTCCCTTGGCTTGGGACTGCTACCAAAATTTAAGACAACAACTGCGGGCCATTACATGACTGCTGATGCCTATTTTGCTGATGATTCTGATGCGGATTGCACTGCAAATTCCACAACTGATTATTCGTGTGAAACTGAAACCTCTGATTGGGTTGTTAGCCCGAATGCGAAAAACGAGAATCAAACATTAGTGGGCACCGTGTACTAGAGGGGAAACCTGCTCATTTCATTAGGCTACTACCCGTGCGGCCCTGCTGATTAGCAGTTCCGTCCTGTCCTGGTGGTATTAACGCAACCGGCGTCAACCCCCTATTATTTTATGGGGCTCCGAGTATTCCTTCGATCCCAAGTGCCTAGTCCTAGCTAGCAATAACCTTCCTCTCCGGAATCCCGAACTGGTAAGAAATACTACATAGTAGTTGGTCTCACTCCTTCTATGGCTCTAAAAGCAATTTCCTTAGACTAAGAGATTGGCTGGGTCCCCTAAAAGTAAAAGGCAGGCGCAGGCCTCAAAAAAGACTAAAGAGAATCGAATTTTATAACCTGGGCTCTCCGCCACAGTGCTCTACTTTTGCTTAAGGAAAAGAAGGAGCCCGGATTGGATCACCAGCTAAGATAGGCTCAGAAATCGGAATTGGCTAGACTAGATAAGCTCGTTAGGGCTAAGATATTCGTCGTTGTTGGGTCAATCAACACCAATGGGATCCGCTGCTTTATCCGCATCCGCGGATTTGTGCTTGGAACAGTCTTCAGGGCTAAGGCATTAAATTGGTACAGCTAAGCGAGAGATCCCTCTAACTAAAGAAGAACCCCTGATCGTATCGTGCTGTCTGTCTTCCTTACCGGTAGTTGAGTTCAGGCTTCCGAAGAGCAAAGCTAAAGTTCAATCCGGTGCTTTTTCCGGGGCTGGGGAGCGAACGGGATTAGATAGATACCCTGGTAGTCCATGCCGTAAACGGAATAGGGGATTAGACAGAAAAGGTAGTTGGCTTGGGCCAGGCTTACATGATTGATTCCGCTTTTGCAGCAACTGAAACAGATGATTAGCTTGCTTTCCTGAACTGAAACAGAAAATAGCGTAACTAGACTAGATTCGCTAGTGGCGCCGGTCCAGATGCGGAGGCGAGAGAGTTGGTTCGAATTGCCGTAAGGAGGCTCAAAAGCAAAAGTTGGCTGGCTCAAAAGGGTTCGATTCGGAGAGGTTGTTCGGTTAGAAAGTGTTCGGAAATAGTCCTGCCCCTATCACATCTAGGGCCAGTGCTTGCTCCCGCTATAGTTAGACCTTCTCTAGCTTCTTCCGCAACAGATCCAACTGCTTCTGCTTCTGATGCGGATAGGCAGACTAGACTGACTAGAGCTTACCTCTCTCTGACACCTGGCTTTGGCGCATATTAGCTTAGTTGCAATTAGATTGATTAAAAGGCCGGGCCGGCCGGTTTGTTTGGCTTCCTCTCCGCCACTAAGTAATAATACACATTCTGACTCTGACCTGAAAACTCCTTCTAAGCCCGGCGAATCAAAGGCGAGGTATCTTATAAGAAATTCTAAAGAAAAAGAGGACTCTCAAGTCCGGAATAGCGATAGCGATCTGGCTTCTCTCGATCAGAGACTGTATTTGACTACTCCGAAACCAGAGTTCAGTTCCCCACCGGAGAGGTTCAATCCATCTATCCCTCCCTAAAGGAGAGAGAAGGAGGAAGAAGCAGGCAAGCAGGAGCGCAGATTGGACTAAATAGAATCTCATTTAATCACCGGCAATCAACCTAATGAGGAAAAGAAAGAGCCTTAGTTGGCAAAATAGACCCCGGTTCTAGTACAGAACCAGACTCTTAATGAACCTACGGAGTCAGTCCCAAAGGTCTCATTATCTGTCTCGGTAGAAGTCAGTAGAGCAAGGAGGCGGATTTGACTAAAGAAAATCTATCCGGAAAGAAGCACCGGATTTAGTTAGGTTTGATTGCTCCCTCTACTGATAAGCAACGGATCCGGATTTAGCTAGCGAAAGCCCCCACTTAGTTTAAGGCGTTAGTCACGAACAAGCCCGCTACGAATAAAGGCGCCCGTTAGCGAAAGCCCCCACTTAGTTTAAGGCGTTAGTCACGAACAAGCAACGGATGAGCGCTCTAGCGCGAAAGCCCCCACTTAGTTTAAGGCGTTAGTACGAACAAGCCCGCTACGAATAAAGGCGCCCGTTAGCGAAAGCCCCCACTCAGTTTAAGGCGTTAGTCACGCGCAGCCGTTTTCTTGCTGCTTTAGTTTTCTTGCTGCTTTAGTTTTCTTGCTGCTTTAGTTTTCTTGCTGCTTTAGTTTTCTTGCTGCTTTAGTTTGATTGCTGCTTTAGTTTTCTTGCTGCTTTAGTTTGATTGCCTAGTTTTCTTGCTGCTTTAGTTGGATTGCCCCGCCTAGTTTTCTTGCTCCGTTTTCTTGCTCCGCCCCGTTTTCTTGCCTAGTTTTCTTGCTTGCTTGCTTGCTTGCTAGACACGCTTAGTAGCACATCCGTTTTCTTGCTAGCCGCTGCTTCATTTCGTATAGTGATAACGCTTTCTCTTTCTTAGCGCTCCGCCCCCCCTTGTATAGTAAGGGGAACTCTGGTTGCGCGGCTTTCTCTTATAGGGGTCTATTTTCTCTGACTTGACTCAGCTTGACCTACTTGACTCAGCGGTTAGAGTATCGCTTTCATACGGCGAGAGTCATTGGTTCAAATCCAATAGTAGGTAAAACCGGCCGAAAGCCCTGCTTTTGCCAGCATGACAGCAAGCACGGACTGGCGGAGTCAACTGAATGACCAAAGCATCGGTTGCTTCCACTTGTGGCCTTCTTCGACTGCCTTGACACCTTAATATCAGGGAACCCCCTATCCTCTCTTCTTCTCTTCATGTATGTGGGCTGCCTGCCCCGTCCCGAATAGACGAACAGGAACAAGCTGAAGAAAGGCGCGAGAGAGAGTTGATACTCAACGCACCTACCCTCTTCCACAATTAGGTGAAGACCAGGGGGGCCGGAAACCCCAACGGGAAACCTTTCACCGCGCCACAGGATTCTTTCGCGAAGCGCTCTCTCAGACGTTTCCACTCCTGCCTCCGCAAGCAAAGAGGTTTCAAAGATACCAGGCGACCAAGTGAAAGTGAACAGCCCCGAGCAAATCTTCTAGAGAGCGTACCCGTTCAAACAACAAAAAAAAGAAAGAATATGAACGTTGTGGACAGTAAAAAGTTCTTCGCAGCGGCAGAAGAACCTGAAAAACATAGAGTGTTGGTCCTGCAAGAAGAAAGGTCACTTGAGTTTTGAGTGCCCATAAAAGAAAGGAAAAGGGAAAAAGCCATGATGATCAGGAAAAGGTAGTGTTGGTCACTACTATGGCCCTGTTTGCCAACATTTCAGATAGTTGGTGGATCGGGTCCTCGCATCATATTTTCTTCCGAAAAGCAGAATTTGGTGCAGATATGATTGAAGAACTAGGTTCTTCATATATGGATCATCACATCAATATCGCGCCGTGGCACAGAGAAAGAAAGCATGAAAGCACTAATAGATCAATTAATTATAGGAACACATGAAAATATCAGAACCACATATATAGGCTTGCAAAAGTCGAAACACCTATTATTCTTTCTGCAACTCGATTTGCTGGTTTTTATACTATAGGGCTGGCTCCCAGGCTTTCCTGCTGCCTTTCTTTTTCAATGCCTCTCCCACTGCTTTCATCGCTGGTGCCTCCACCTCTGCTAGTGGTTTTGTGGATTCACCTACTTATGCCTGGGGCTCGACGCCCTTATGGAGAAATAGGTGGTTCTGAATCAACGGGCTCTGCTGCCCCCGTATAGCGACTCTCTGCTGCTTTTACTTAGCAGTTTGCTCCTGCCTTTGTATCTGCTATGAGTGAATCTACTCTGGGGTGAAACAACCACTGCGATTGCCTTTTACCATACCTTTACCTATGCCTATATGAATATCTTCAAGTTGCAGATCCAAAGCGAGTAGTTGCTTCAGTAGAGCCGGTTGATTCCGGCGATTCTGTTGATGAAGCAGTCAATGAAGAAAGACATGGTTGAGTCAGTCGAAGAAGCAAATGCTCTCGCCTTAGGGGAGCATACACACCTACTGCGAATTAGAGAGACCTGACCTACATTCATTAATCATCTCGTAGGAATTTCCCTTCTCAAGGTAGGTCAAAAGAGCAATTTGGAAGACTCTCTCGAAAGGTGTCTGCTCGTGGAATAGAAAGAGTTCGTTGCATCAACAAAGTGTAGTAGTCAAAAACGCTTACTTAAGCTCATCGATGTGTACTCACTCCTCGGCTGTGAAAGAGAGGGCGCTTCTGAGCTAAATCAATCCCGCACAGGTGATTACCCGGAACTTTACACTCAATGGAAAGCAAAAAGGAAGACTAAATCCGCTTTGAAAGCGATTCCAGAGACTATAAGAACGACCGGGTGGCAGGTGGGAGCAGTAGAAGCATTGAGATTTGCTTGTTCAGAGATGCGTCAAAGGTATACCTATGAAAGTGGATTGCAAGGGTCAGGCACCAATGCATTACTAAAGAATAACAAACCAGAATAACTTCTCAGGGAGCGTGGAAAGAAGGAGACCTAAAAGTGATATCTGTAGGCCGACCTTGGGATTGATACGCTTCGACTTAGCCTTGATAGGCTAATGCACTCTCTTGATCCAATGCTCAATCTTTCGCTCAAATGGGAATGGCCGATAAATCTTCAACTCCAACAGATCTTGTGAGACAAACCCTCGGTGAAGCACTGCATCTTTCTAGCTTCAAAGAAAGAGAAAGACAACGAAGTGGGATGATTTCCCAAGCTTAGGACTTTGATCAATGGGCACTGTAGAATAGAGAGGCGCTAACATGCAAAAAAGCCTCCTTTCGGGTGGCGGATGTCAGCGGTTTAAACCCAAGTAGCTGTGGCCCATGATCCAAACGCAAGCAGTCAATCACGCTATCCTTACCTTGAAACCAATTCCTTCGATTCCGCTTCTGCAGCAGTATAGTTTCTCGGTACCTTACCTTGATGCCTACAGCTCAATTTGTTTTCGAGTGAGGGCAAGAGCCTTAGATGATAGGGGGGCAGCGATTTTGCTTTTGGTTGTTCTTGTGGCGTCGTCTCTGGGCGGCGCCTTCGGAGTCCGATATTGCCGAAGGACAGTGTGGACCGCAGCTCTGCCGCAGAAGGGGAAGATGTTGTTTCCGACCAGAATGCCGATTCCGCCATCCGGCCCCGAGGAAGCGAGATTGTGGCACTCCAGTCAGCCATCTTGGTCTCACTCATATTGGGGATCAGAGACAGAAAGCGGGCTGATCCATGAAGCTCAATAAACGCTTTCCTCCAATGAACAGACGAACCGAATCCTTTCTCGATGGGAAAGCTTGACCTTAATAGAGTGGACAGGCTCTTCTCCTCGCTTTGCTGTCATTGGGTCACGAACGGGAAAAGAAGAAGGAGTTAGCGCTTTCACCTGGTTTGGTTCAGGAATTGGGTGCTATGGAGAAATAGAATTAGTTTATCCCGTCTCCTTAAAAGGGGTAGATTGGTTTGAATAGCCTTATAGTAAGCATTACCGCAGCTTTGACTCTGTTGCAGGAAGGACTACTTGGAGTTCCATACCATGAAAAATGGAAATGGCTATCAGTTCTGACTCTCCTGACCAGAGGTAAGTAGTCCGGCTAAGCCGGAAGAAAGAAATGTGAGAGTTTAGCCTATTAATTCACTTTACTTTAGGGAAGCCGGTTAAATGCTTTGCTTTGTGAGGGAAAAGCGGGCACAGCTCACGCACGGCACAAGAGGCAAGGAACTTTCAACAGGCATGGACGGAAGTATACCCCTCCTTTTGAGGGTGAATGTCGGAAATCGTCTTCCCGGATCTAATGGATGAGGGATCACAGTATAAGAAAGAGAAAGAAGGGAGCAGCACGGAGCTACTCGCCGCGGCATCATGTAGATGCACGAGGAGCGCATCTTGCAAATCGCATGTGTGTCGTACTCTGTGGTGTGTCACCCCCCAACCAGAGTGAGAGGGAGGATGATTAAACCAATAGCTTTCACTAAACTATTCTCAAGATTTCTCTCTATTAAGGTTACTAAGTGGCAGAAGATCTTGGAATAAAAACCACCACTTAAGATGTTCCTCATCAGTATTGGCAAGTCCAGTCCCTAATCTGTAAGCAGTCCGTCCAGCACATAGTACGTATGGGTAGTATGTCCATAGCGCTTAGTGGGAGAAGCCGTTGCCTTTATTTACCTTCCCTCTGGCATGTTTTCCCTGGCTTGGATTCAACCTCCTGCCTCGGACATTCTTCGGTTTGTAAGCAAGACAGAGAGCGGACTACTTCTCCGGGAAAAGAAGTTCACGACCCCTATCCCGTATAAGGCCTTCTACCTCCTCCCTTTATTTATTGACCGTCTGATGGGTAGGGGATGGCTGGCTGGGAAGACCCTTGACCTTCGTATAGTCGGCAGGCGTTGGTACTAGTATGAGTGAATACCTTTATACTATAGGGCTTATGAATTCGTCCTTACCCAACTTACCCGGCCCAGTACTTCCTTGCCTTACACCGGCCTTACAAGGAAGATGAGTCCTCTTCGGAACTCTTTTCCGAAGTCACCTGGCTCTTGAAACTCCCATAGCTTAGTGGTCAACTCCTGCTATTGGTTCTTATTGTTTATGGGTTTAATTCCCGCTATCTGGCTTTCTTCTTTATATGGCATCTTTCTTCTGCCTAATCTGATCAGTGCAATCCGGTTCAAGAAAGCAGGAAATCCAGTAATTTGGGCTTAGGAAGGCATCTCTGGGCTAATCCCGCATCTGAATCTATACCTATTCGTGCAAAGTCTTCTAGCATACTTTTGAACTTCGTATCTTAACTGGGCACAAGCTATTCTAAGAGCTCTTATATACCACCGATAGTTGCAGTAGTCACTTCGCCCCATTTCTTCCTATTCCATTGCCCTGCTGCGGATTCTTCCATCAATCCGATTATGGGCATGCCCTGAGATGAGACTAGTGCTACTCCCTGCCTTTATGTGTTATGTGCAGCTTCTTCTTTCACAACTCATTCTCAAACAGCGGATGTCTATTTGTCCACATCAGAAGGAAAGGAATCCGTCCCAACAGCGGATAGAGTAAGAGCGGTAATTCCTCCATCAACGGTTACGAGAACAGTAAGAGCAGCTTCGGTTTTTCTAATAAGGAAAATACATCTCATGCCATGGTTATTGTGAAGGAATAGGCAGCTATTTCTGCTATTTTGAAAGCTGTGATTGCTGTTGTTTAATAAGTTCATTTTACTGTTAAGAGGTACCAAAGGCTTTTTTTTGAAACTCTATCCAATAGGGTTTTCCTCATATCAACATCTGACCTAATCAAGGGCTTTAGGGAGAGAATCTTCACCCATGTTCTGAGAATCTACAATCGCTTGGCTGACTCGCTAGTCCTTATGGAATGAATACTCAGCCGCTCTAGTACACATGCTAGTACACCAAAAAAGCACAGAGTCGCTTGTCATCGACAGATTGGACATCCTAGCCACAGATAGCCCTTCCGTCGAACGGGATTCATTCATCTTCTTGGATGAAGACTCTCGAAAGTTGGAAGATGATGACCTATCACCAGTCAAGACGAAGAAGATTACTATGACTATGAAAACCATGGTCTTATTCTTTCTACAATTACCTCAAGGACGGGTTCATACCCGAGTACGCCACTCGTAGTCAGAATAGAGCCTGGAGGGAAACTCCGATTTGTGATCTTGGGATCAGTAATTTACAAAAGGCCATCTTCGGGGGACTCGCCCTTCCTTAATAGGAAGAAGGAGCGCACATTGTTGAACAAGCTCATTCAAGCGCATGCGGAGGACACGTTAACAGCCAATGCTTGCAGTTAGGCAAGGTCCCCTATTCAAAGAAAGGGTGTCAATGAAAATAGATATCAGAACAACAATGTCAGCTCCACTCCTTTCGAAGAGAAGAATCGTTGTAAAGCCCCAGCCGTGTGAACTGAACTGAAAGTTCCAGCTGACGTTTATGGTTGTGAATTCCTTCCCACTAGAGGAGACACCTTTGAAAGGAGAAATTCAATAATGAGTAATAGAATTTTACATTCGCAAAAGTAATCCCTTCCTTTAATGGTGGATCACCCATATCGCTTCTTCCAAAGCTCCTTAACGGCAGGTTTTTTGTATAGGATAATAAGGGCTTTCCTCAAACAAAATTTCACTCTTTCTATTTCTTGAGGAGAAAATCCAAATCTAATTCATCGAAAACGAGGGAACTTTCGTTAGTCAATATCCCAAACATAGGGCTTATGTGATACCTGTTGGATTAACGGCCTAGACCGAAGAAAATAACAAGTAAAGCAGGTCAGGTGTGAAACTTTTACGTCTAAGTAAGTGAAGTTGTGCTAACCGGTCCTATCCTAGATCCAACCGAGTTGGGAACGAGCTAAAGTGAATTGATCCGGTCGACGTGGCTAAGCTGAAAAAAGAAGTGAGTCCCATATATTCTATACTGTATTGATGGCTCATTTTGGCTCACTTCCTCGATATGGGATCGAAAATGTTAAGTACTCAGATTTTTTAGAGAGGTCGCGGGTTAGCTGTACAAGCAATTCGACCTCTTCTTATAGGGGAATGGGGTTTAAAGCTACTTCTATGGAGGTATAGGGCAGCCCAGAAGCAAGATTCTAGGCAGGCTTAAGTGGGGATTTCTAGGGAGATTCAAGCTGTGACGCAGCTAGCTTTAGTCGGCATAAGAACAAACAACTAAATGGGTATCCTTGGATACCCTTTTGTTAGCTTCGGTGGCCTGGAGTCTTCTACGGGGCATCTCTTCTTTATAGCTTTATAGATTATGAATTCGATTCAGAACACGCAAGAAAAGCGTTGATGGAACCATGCAAACAGCGCTCATTAACTCACTAGCGTCCCAGCTATCTTTTTTCTCACCCTTAGGCATTACTACTAATGGGCTTTCGAAGAATTCTTTTTACAGTGTGTTAAGCACACGTACACCGACACATTAGTTTGTGTCATTCTTTATCACAGGCGCATGATTGGATAAGTCTTGCTGCCAGGATGCGACTAGAAAGAGGGTAGGGGAGTATATATTTCAATATAATAATATTTCAATTCGATACTTGATTCAATACTTTAATGCGTGAATCTTTCATCTAACAAGAAATATCGTAATTGAATATTTATTGCGTATATAAAATATAGATTGAATATATAGAATGAAAATAATAATATATTATATATATTTAATGCGATACTTGAAAGATTTCGATTTTGTTAGTGTGAAGTCTACTGTACAATAGTGGAATTAAAAAAAAATCACCTGACGGAGGCACCCGCCGCCGCCTATGACAAAAGGAGACCTTTCCTCTCCTATGAAAGAGAGAGGCAAAAACAAACAGGCTAGAAAGAAAGAAGCCTGTTCAAAGGGGTAGTTCCTCTGTTGACTCAGGAAAGCGGGTCAGTTGATTGGCAAGCCGATTGACAGGGCCCCGAAGCAAGGTATGGTGGGTGCCAGCAACTTTCACTTGTTAGGAGTAGGGGCTGAAAAGAGCTCTGACTGAAGGACCTTGGATGATAGCAAAGCAGTCTGTCAGAGCTGTCAGCTGAAGGGAACTAGTCCCCGACAATAGGCTACCACTTCCTTTATTGCTTGATCGGTTGTTGAAGACAGATAAGACAATCCAAACAGCTTTTGGGACGCGAAGGAACGTAGTGCTCGACCAAAGGGAGAGGGTTGACTCGAGCTGCACTACACCGGTGATACTCATGTTCTCCCGAAGACCCACTCAATGCGGCTATCAGTGACTTTCGCTCTTGGGACAGCCTCTGACTCGTCCCCCCCGAAAGATTGGGATTGGAAGTGTTCCATCCTGACATATCGGGCGGAAGGTTCTGTGATTGTGATCATTTACGAAAAGCCTTATGATATATGAAAAATATCTTAGTTTAGTATAGTAGCAGCAATAAAGTTGCTGTGACGTAAACTGCGCCAGGGTTGCTCCCTGTCCCTGCGCGCTCTAAGATCTAGGGCGGAGACTGCTTGCTCTGAGGATAGCTTTCTTCGGGATAAGGCCTTTCATTCATTTAACATTTTAATTACTCGAAAAACTTTATTTCGTGTTCATCATCTTGGAGCTATTTTTCCATTTAACCTCGAGAACGCCTCAAGTAAGGTTGTTCCAGGAAGATCAAACCCCGAATAATCATGCAAATAATAGAAATGCGGATCCCCTCCAATAATAGGTCACCCGTCGTTTTTAGGACCCGGGCTAATTTGTTAGAAATGGTCAGCCCTCCGGTTTGCCAATGAGGGAGCCCCCTATAGAAATGCTTAGAGCAAGGCTTAGAACCAAAGGAAGGTGCCAAGCCTTTATATTAAACCATTTATAAATACATAATATGGAGCTCTCGCCCTCTCTCTGTAGGACTCGCTATCTATGCCACAAGGCTACTTCAAGGCAAGCTGGATCTCCTAGTTCGGGTATGAATTCTCATTCGAGAAGTCCCTCTTAGGTATAGAGAAGATATGGTACCACAAAGCTAGGGGACTACAATTGAGTATGCCTAATTCCTTCTGTGATAAGTAGTCTGGGTTCCATTTTCAATTGCCCTAAGATTTTGGACCTCGAAGAACTGTCGCAAGTTGAAAGTGACTTGTGGGTTCGGCCCTAAAGTGTGGATCATCGGGTTGAGTACAAAGCATGTTTTCAGACCTTGGGCAGTGACTTACTTTTAGTATAATTGATAAAGTAGGAAGAGTCGCCAAATAGACTGAATTAGTCTTAGTGCCGTAGTAGGCCGGCCGCCCTACCTCACCTTCCCTTTTTTCCCTTAACTGCTGACAGCAAGCATTCCTGGAGCAAGTAATCTGCCAAAGAATAGAAAAGAGAAGTTGCATCCTAATCCGCTCCTGGGGGAAGGTGCAGATGAAAGAAATCATCACAGGAATAGGAGAAAGAACGCTGCAAGTCTTTTTTAAGTGAAAGAGGATTTGGTTTTAGCAGACTAGGTTGTGCTAGAATTCGATCTAACCGTATCCGGTCTTTCGGAAGAGAATAAGCTCTTGTTTGAGAGTTCAGAAGAAAGATTTGCTAACTGTGAAATCTTGTCTCGGTAACCGGTGCTTTAGTGCATTAGTTGAGTCCCATTAGTGCCTTTTCTGCTCTTGTCGGAATAGCTACTCTTGGTGCTTTTTTGTAAAGGCATAGCGATCTTTCGCTCCTCTCCCCTAACTCGTAGTTAGACTAAGAGCGAGTGCCCGTGACTCGACTGCCTAGGAGAGGGCCCGCTCCTCTCACAACTTTCTTCGATAGGGGCGAGAACTTAGTGCCTCATATCAAGCTATGAGATTTCACTTACTCTCCCGATAGGGATAGGGAAAAGTCTTCTTTATTTTATTCTCCAGCAAGAAAACGATCAAAGGCTTTCCCAGAAAAAGAAACCAACTTCCTATCGCTTAGCTCAAGTGACTAAAACCATCCGGTTAGAAGTGACAAGTGACTCGACCGATAGGGATAAAGAGCTCTCCTTAGTAATATGATGAGCTATCCCTTATCTTTATATAGTTGGCAATCACTAGACATCACACCAGACCGGCCGGAAAGGGAAAAGTCTATCCTGTATGATTTATCACAGTCCGTAGTGAGAGCCTGATCTCAGGTCTTCTTTCTTGCTTGCTTACTTTAAGGCCTGTGAGAAAGAGGACTCTGCTGGACTGGGCTTCATCACTGACGAGATTGGGATAGCACGAGAGGACCAATAGAACACTACAAGCTAAGCTCAGATTCATCAGATCAGTAACTAGCCGTCGGAGGATACTAGGTGAATGGTCCGGGATAGAGGATCAATCTACTACTGTCATTTCTCTTAACG